ATGTACGGATATCTTATCACCTGTGGTTTAATTTGTGTGTCTCTGATGACTAATGTTGATTGGTTTCTGAACACTGATTTAGCCTTCAATCCCTGAAATAAACCCCACTTGGTCATGGTATATAATTATTTTTATATTATATTATAATTATTTTTATATTAGTAGAATTTCATTTCTACTATTTTGTTAAGAATATTTGAGTCTATGTTGAGTCTATGTTTGAGTCTATGAGAGATACTGGTTTGTAGTTTTCATTTTTATACTATTTTTGTCTGGTTTTGGTATCAGTGTAACAGTAACTATACCACATGGGTTGAGAAGTGTTTTCACCTCTTTTTCTAGGACAGACTGTGTATAATCGGTATTAATTCTTTAAATGCTTGGTAGAACTCTCCAGTGAAACCTTCTGGGCCTGGAGATTTCTTTTGGAAGAGTTCTAAAATTATGAGTTCAATTTCCTTAATAGTTATAAGGTTATTTCAAATAATCTGTTTTATGTTGGTAAGTTATGATAACTAGAATTTTTCAAGGAATTGGTATATTTAATCTACATTCTCAAATGTACGTGTGCAAAGTTGTTGATAATATTCTTTTATCATCCATTTGATTTCTGCAGTGTCTGTAGTGATATCCCCTGTTTCGTTCCTGAGTTTTCAGTAATTTGTGTCTTCTTTTTCAGTCTTACTAGAGATTTGTCAATTGTATTGATTTTTCCCCCAGATGCATTTTGTTTCATTGATTATCCTTATTGTTTTTCTATGTTCAGTTTCAGTGATTTCTGCTCTTTATTATTTCTTTTTATTTTAAACCTGTTTATATCGTATTTGAAGCGAGTTTCTTGTAAACATACTTGGGTCATGATTTTAATCCACTCCTGCCAATCAAAATGCATTTATGTTTAATGTAATTGATATGTTAGGGCTGTCATTTTATTTCTTGTTTTCTGTCTGTTCTTTATTATTATTATTGTTATTTACTTTTCCAGCTTTCCTGTGGGTTACTCACACATTTTATGAATTCCATATAGATTTGCTTGTAATGTTTCTTTGTGTATCTCTTTATATAGCTTATTTACTGGTTGCTTTAGGTATTACATTATGTACACATATATTTATTTAAATTACATACACATATGAAAGAAAGTGTATTAGCCACTCACTCAATCTTGTCTGACTCTTTGCAACCCCAGGGACTGCAGCCCACTAGGCTCCTCTGTCCATCGGATTTCCCAGGCAAGAACACTGAAGTGAGTTGCCATTGCCTTCTCCAGGGGATCTTCCCTATCCAGGAATCAAATACAGGTCTTCTGCACCATAGGCAGATTCTTTACCATCTGAGCCACCAGGCAAGCCCCATATGTGCACATATATATGAGTATAATTAGAAATATATATATATGTTTCTATATATAAGGTTTCTACACTTCACTTGAACTGGTAAAATGACAGCACCTGTATACTCAGAAATGTATGAAGTATAGAAACAGTATTTCCCTTTATGCTTCTTTACCTTTTCTTTAACGATACAATTGTCTTAAATATTTCCTCAAACTACATTCAGAATGACATCAGACAATGTTATAATGTTTGCTTCAGCCACCAAATAAAGTTTAGAAAACTCAAGAAGAAAGGAAATCTATTATATTTACCTATATTTTTGTTTAACCTGTTCTTCTTTCTTACCAATGATCCTATATTCCTACTTTTATATTTTCCATCCTGTTTAGGGTCTTCCCTTAATCATTCTTTTAGAAAAAAGTCTCTTAGTGACAAGATCTCTTAATTTTCCTTCATCTGATAATATTGTGATTTTTCCTTCATTCCTTAAAAATGTATTGTTGCTGAATATAGGATTCTGGGTTGATCGTTCTTTCAACACTTGAAAAACAGTATTATTTCCTTTCAGCCTCCATAGTTTGTGGTGTGAAAATCACTGTCATTCATATTATCTTTTAGGTAACGTGTCATTTCTTGTTCTCTAAGCTTTCAGTTTTTTCCTTTACATTTTTACAAGTTGAACTATGTGTCCTGACATGGGTTTTCTTTTTGTTTGATTAATCCTATTTGGATTTCATTTTTATTTTTTTAAATAACATCTTTACTGAGACATAATTTATATATCATGAAATTTCCCCTCTTTAAGTTTACAATAAAGTGTTTTGCAGTGTATTCATGAGGTAGTGTAACCTCCACTATCTAATTTTAGACTGCTTTTATCCTCTCCAAAGAAACCTGATACCTATCAGTAGTCACTCTCGATTTCCCCTCCAATCTTTGGAAACTCCTAATCTACTGAGTTTCTGTAAATTTGCCTATTCTAGATATTTCATATAAATCTGATTATACAATACACAGTCCCCAGTACTGGTTTCTTTCATTTAGCAAAACGTCTTCAAGGTTCACTCAAATTGTAGCATGTATTAATACTTTATTCATTTTTTAATAATATTCCATTGTATGGATATACTAATTTTGTTTATTCATCAATCGATGGACATTTGAATACAAATAATGCTGCTATGAATATTTGTGCACACGTTTTATGGAGACATGTTTTCATTTCCATTAGGAATGGAATTTCTGGAAGATATGGTAACTCTGTTTGAAGAAATGCCAAACTGTTTCCCAAAGCAGTATTAGCATTTTACATCCCTGCCCCCTTCCCCACATCCTTGTCAGTACTTATTATTATCTATGCTTCTTACTATGGCTATTTTAGTACATGTGGAGTGGTATCTTGTTCTTTTGATTTGCATTTCCCTAATAGCTAAGACTAGAGATCTTGTCAAGAAAATTGGAAATATCAAGGGAACATTTCACCCAAAGATGGGCACAATAAAGGACAGAAATGGTAGAAACCTAGTAGACCCAGAAGAAATCAAGAAGAGATAGAAAGAATACACAGAAGAACTGTACAAAAAAGATCTTAATGAACTGGATAATTATGATGGTATGGTCAGGTACCCAGAACCAGACATTCTGGAGTGTGAAGTCAAGTGGACCCTAGGAAGCACTGCTGTCAATAAAGCTAGTGGATATGATGGAATTTCAACAGAGCTATTCAAAACCCTAAAGGATGATGCTGCCAAAATGTTGCACTCAATATGTCAACAAATCTGGAAGACCCAGCAGGGGCCACAGGACTGGAAAAGGTCAGTCCTCATCCCAATTCCCAAGAAGTTTGGTACTAAAGAATGTTCTAACCATTGGACAATTACACTCATCTCCCATGCTAGTAAGGTCATGCTTAAAATCTTGCACACTAGGCTTCAGTATTATGCAAACCAAGAGCTTTCAGATGTCCAAACTGGTTTTAGACAAGTTAGAGGAACCAGAGACCAAATTGCCAGCATTTGCTGGATCATAGAGAAAGAAAGGGAATCCCAGAAAAATATCCACCTGTTTCATCGACTATGCTAAAGCCATTAACTGTGTGGATCATAACAAACTGTGGAAAATTCTTAAAGAGAAAGGAATACCAGACCATCTTACCTGTCTCCTAAGAAACCTGCATGTGGGTCAAGAAGCAACAGTTAGAACCCTGTGTGGAACAACTGATGGGTTCAGGATTGAGAAAGGATTACACCAAGGCTGTCTGCTGTCACTCTGTTTATTTAACCTATACACTGAGCACATCATGAGAAATGCCAGGTGGATAAATTACAAGGTGGAAATAAGATAGGCGGGAGAAACATCAACAACTACAGATATGCAGATCAGTTCAGTTCAGTCCAGTCGCTCAATCATGCCTGATTCTTTGCGACCCCATGTACCGCAGCACACCAGGCCTCCCTGTCCATCACCAACTTCCGGAGTCCACTCTAACCCATGTCCATTGTGTTGGTGATGCCATCCAACCATCTCATCCTCTGTCATCCCGTTCTCCTCCTGTCCTCAATCTTTCCCAGCATCAGGGTCTTTTCCAATAAGTTCTTCACATCAGGTGGCCAAAGTATCAGAGCTTCAGCTTCAACATCAGTCACTCCCATGAACACCCAGGACTGATCTCCTTTAGGATGGGCTGGTTGGATCTCCTTGCAGTCCAAGGGACTCTCAAGAGTCTTCTCCAACACCACAGTTCAAAAGCATCAATTCTTCAGCACTCAGCTTTTTTTTTATAGTCCAACTCTCACATCCATACATGACTACTGGAAAAACCATAGCCTTGACTAGATGGACCTTTGTTGACAAAGTAATGTCTCTGCTTTTTAATATGCTGTCTAGGTTGGTCATAACTTTCCTTCCAAGGAGTAAGTGTCTTTTAATTTTATGGCTGCAATCACCATCCACAGTGATTTTGGAGCCCCAAAAAATAAAGTCAGGCACTGTTTCCACTGTTTCCCCATCTATTTGCCATGAAATGATGGGACCAGATGCCATGATCTTAGTTTTCTGAATGTTGAGCTTTAAGCCAACTTTTTCGCTCTCCTTTTTGACTTTCATCAAGAGGCTTTTTAGTTCTTCTTCACTTTCTGCCATGAGGGATACGCATATGATACCACTCTAATGGCAGAAAGTGAAAAGGAACTAAAGAGCCTCTTAATGAGGGTGAAGGAGGAGCCAGCTTAAAATTAAATATTTAAAAAAACTAAGATCATGGCATCTGACCCCATTACTTCATGGCAAATAGAAGGGGAAAAGGTGGAAGTAGTGACAGATTTCCTGTTCTTGAGCTCTAAAATCACTGAGGATGGTGACTGTGGCCATGAAATCAGAAAATGATTGCTTCTTCGCAGGAAAGTGATAACAAACCTAGACAGTGTGTTGAAAAGCAGAGACATTACTCTGCCGATGAACGTCCATATAGTCAAGGCTGTGGTCTTCCCAGTGGTCACATCTGGTTGTGAGAGCTGGACTGTAAAGAACGCAGAGCACCAAAGAATTGATGCCTTCAAACTATGGTGCTGGAGAAGACTCCTTAGACAGCAAGGAGATCAAACCAGTCAATCTTAAGGGAAATCAACCCTGAACACTGCTGAAGCTGAAGCTCCAGTATTTCGGTCATCTGATGCAAACAGATGACTCATTGGAAAAGCCCCGAAGCTGGGAAAAATTGAAGGCAGAAGAAGAGGGTGTCAGAGGCCTCTGGTGCCCTCTTCTTCCATCTTCAATCTTTCCCAGCATCAGGGTCTTTTCCAATGAGTTAGCTGTCAGAAGATGAGATGGCTGGATGGTATCAACAAAGCAATGGACCTGAACTTGGACAAACTGGGAGATGGTGAGGGACAGGGAGGTCTGGCATGCTATAGCCCATGGGGTCACAAAGAGTCTAGTTTGCCCAGTTGCCCATGAATGGGCAACTGAACAATAACTAATGAGATTGAGCATCTTTTCAAATGCTTATTGGCAATCTGTGTGTCTTATTTGGAGAGATGCCTATACAGATCTTTTGCCTATTTTAAACTAGATTATTTGTCTTTATATTATTGAAATATGAGTTGTTTATTCTAGAAGAAGTCTATCAGATATGTGACTTGCAAATATCTTTTTCCCTTTCTATGGGTAGCCTTTTCACTTTCTTTATGGTATCCTTTGAAGCACAAAAGTTTTAAATTTTATTTAAGTCCAATTTATCTAGTATTTTCTTTTGTTGCTTATGCTTTTGGTGTCATATCTGAGAAGTCTTTTCCTAACACAAGGTACAAATATCTACTTCCATGTTTTCTTCCAAGAATTTTATAGTTTTAGCTCTTAAATTTAGTTCTATGATCCATTTTGAGTTAAATTTTGTAAATGGTACAAAGTAGGGGTCCAATTTTACCCTTTTGCATATGAATACTCAGTTGTCCCAGCACTATTTGTTGAAAACACCTCATTTAGCTGTTTGGGGACCTTCACTGAAAATACGCTATAGATTTATGTCTTTTGTCAAATTTCAGAAGTTTTCAGCCATTATTTCTTTGAGTATTTTTAGGCCCACCTTCTTTCTTTTCTCTTTCCAGGACCCTGATGACATGAATGTTAGATCTTTAGTTAGTCACTTAACTCCAAGAAACTCTGCTCATTTAAAAAAAAAAATCTATTTTCTTTCTATTGTTAGATTGGATAATTTCTATTTATCTATCTACAGGTTCACTGATTCTTTCCTTGTACTCCTCCATTGTGTTGTTAAACCCATCCACTTAGTTTTCTGTTGATGTTGTTCAGTCACCAAGTCACATACGACTCTTTGTGACCCCACAGACCGCAGTATGCCAGGCCTCCCTGTTCTTCACCACCTCCCAGAGTTTCCCCAAGTTCATGTCCATTAAATTGGTGATGCCATCCAATCATCTCATTCTCTGGTACCCTCTTCTCCTTCTGCCTTCATTCAATCTTTCCCAGCATTGGGGTCTTTTCCAATGAGTCGGCTGTTTGCATCGGGTGGCCAAAGTATTGGAGCTTCAGATTTAGCACCAGTCCTTCCAATGAGTATTCAGGGTTGATTTCCTTTAGCATCGACTGGTTTGATCTTCTTGAAGTCCAAGGGACTCTCAACACCACAGTTCAAAAGCATTAACTCTTCAGCACTCTGTCTTCTTTATGGTCCAGCTCTCACATCCATACACGACTACTGGAAAGACTATAGCCTTGACTATACAGAACTTTGTTGGCAAAGTGATGTCTTTGCACTTTTAATACACTGTCTAGATTTGTCATAGCTTTCCTTCCAAGAAGCAATCATCTTCTAATTTCATGACTGCAGTCACCATCTGCAGTGATTTTAGAGCACAAGAAGAAATCTGTCACTGCTTCCACCCTTTCCCCTTCTATTTGCCATGAAATGATGGGACCGGATGCCATGATCTTAGTTAATTATTAAATTTTTAGTTCTAAAGTTTCCATTGGTTCTTTTTAATATCTCCTATTACTTTGCTGAAGATTTTCTTTTTCTGTCTCAAGTGTTTTTGTAGCTGTTCAGAGAAGCATTTCTCAGATTTCTCTGTCTGCTTTAAAATCTTTATCAGATATTCTAACAACCCTCTCATCTTGATTTTATCATTTATTGTCTCTTTTATATACAGTTTGAAATCTTCCTAGTTCATTAAATGACCATTGATTTTCAGGTGAAATCTAGATATTGAGGGTGTTGTACTATGAGATTTTAGATCTTATTTAAATCTCTTATTTTAGCTGGCTTTTTCTGACACAGCATTCCAAGTGGAAGTGGGGGTGGGGAGCAGGTACCACCTCATTACTGCCAGGTTGGGGAAGAAGTCCAAGTTCCCTATTTGGCCTCCATTGACACCCAAGGCAGGAGGCTTCCCATTACTGGTTAGTGGGATGAATGTCCTAACTCCCTACCTAACTTTCTCTGCCACCAGAAGAGGCAAGGGGAAGCTGAGGTGAAAGTCTTGGCTCTCCACCAGACCTTTGCTAGCATGAATTAGGGGACAGGAGGAGTCATATTTTTTTCATAGTTTTTGTCTGGAGTAGAGCATTTATTGTCTAAATGTTTTCTGTCTGCTATACCGCCCCTTTACTGGTCCTTCAGCTAAAGAAAGGAATATTTTCTTGGGTCTTTCTTGGTCTGCACCATAGACGCTTCCAAGTAGCCAGCTTCTTCAATTTCAAGTCTGGGATCTATGAGGCAAAAAGAAAACTCAGGTAGCTAATTTTTGTATTCCTTGGGTTTCCAGGACCTTAGCTGGTCTGTTTTCTCTCTTTCATGGATGTTTTATGTGTAACATATGTGTAATGCTTTATGTGTAAAATGTATGCTTGTTTTGTGTGTAATGTTGAAGGATTTCAGCTGTACTTTGTGAGAAGAGCAAAAGGTAGGTCTATTCCATCTTCCCAGAAGCAGAAGTCTAAGTAGACATTTTTATAAATAGAATCATATTTTAATCACTAGGAGATATTAATAGTTAAAGGAACTTTGAAGTTAATCTTTTCCCAGTTAATAATAATTCCCTTGTATATCTCTTCTGTACATTCAAACTACAAATTGGGTTTGCTTTAAGTGAGGAATGCTTATAGATTATTTACAAATATTTGAATATTGAATACAACTGTCTTTTTCTAACATTTGAATTTTCCTCTGTATAATTGTTTTTTAAATGTTGTTACCTTATTGCCAATCTGAACATATTGCAATGGAAGGCAATTCCTTCAGCTACCTAGTGTTAAAGGATCTAGAGACAATCCACAACTTTCCAGAAGTGTAAAATGGAAGCATTTCTCAGAAGTTTTCTATTTTGGAAGCTTCCCTGTATCTAATAGATAGTTTCAGTTATCTTACTGAGTTTCTATGTACTCACTAATAATTGACTATTAAAAATATTTAGCAATTTCTGGATTTCCAGACCTATTATCTTTTCAATAACCATTCCTCCTTCTCAAACATCTGCTCTTTTATATGTGTTAATACCTAATAATACTATCTTTTATTGCCCTCCAACTATCTGTCAGGCAATCTGCTAATGAGCTCCTGATATACTTTATCTTATTTAATCCTGTTTAAGACAAAGTGACGATCAGAAGGACCACACTGAAAGTGTCTGTAAGTGCATACAGAGCCTCTGCTTCTGAGATTCATGCTTGTTTTAACAGTGCTACAACCTACAGAGTAAGCATCTTTTCTTTCCAAGGTGAAAGCTTATAGGTATGTTTTCTCCCTTAATGCTATTTTGTAACTTCTATCATGCCTTGATTTTATCATGGTCATGTTTTTACCTAAGAAATAAATTTTAATACAGAAATTTAAAATATGATATCTGTAATGGTTCTGAAGTTAAACTCAAAGTTTATTTACTATTTTTAATTTCAGTATATGTCATTTAAAATACCAACAATTCTTAAAAGTTTATCACATGAGCAATGCTGTACTGTATTTGGGTGTAAAGAGAAAACACTCCTGGATTAGATGCTACTTCATTTGGTTAATTGTGCCAAGAGGAACAAATAACATGAAATTTAAAATAAAATAAGTTGTGTTAATAAATCCTTGTTAATGATAAGAAGATTTACTGTTTAAAACATGTATTTTTAATTTAACTTAAAGGACAAATATTAAAAGCCTACATGTGTAAATATCTCTGTATCCAATAGAGAACTATTTTATATTAAAACTTTAATTCATTTTCATTTACATTTTATAAAAGAATGGATATTTAATTTGCCTAGTCTCAATTTCAAAACATTGATAATCAGTATTTTTTCCTTTCAAAATATGTTGGTCAATAAATCTTCTCACATACATTAAATAATACTTTACTTTTTTCTAATTAAACTATTTCCAAACTATTAGTTAGGCAAATTCATTAGTAATTGCTTAATCAATATATCTTTACACCTGTCATTATTTGCTAATCCTACACATTTTAAAAGTATTTCTGTTATTTTTCTTTAGCAAAGTAGCATACACGTACCACATACACCCTGATTGGTAGAGAACAAGGCTCCCTATTCCATGACAGGACTTCTCAAATGCAGAAATATACCGTTTGTTACTTGGATAAATACACATATTTTAGATAAATATCCCTGCAGATATACTGAACTATCAGAAAGGGTGACATTAAGATTTTTTTTCTTGGTAACCTATTCCTATTTCAGCGGCCTCTTTTTGTTTCACACTACTGCATGCAACCACTACTGAATTTGTAGGCTGATGAGGCAGCCTCCCAGAATTACCGTTAGAAAATGTTAATCAGAATTATAAATATTTTAGTTATTTAAAATATTTTTTCTTCTACGTTCAATTTTCTAATGATAGAAAATCTCCTTTTCTACTCAAAGTCTAAGTTAAATAAACATTCTTTCATAAAATGATTGTTGTTACAAATGAAAATTAACAAGTTTATTAACAAGATGTCTCAGTATCAAAAAACACTTTCTAGTATTGGTACTACAATTTTATCTAGAATATACCTGGAAGGCAACAACCACCACACATTTTCAAAACGTAATGTATACAGCATTTGCAAGTAGGATAGTCAAAACTGCTGGTATTTTTACACACATTGACCACGTGAGGAAGAATATTATCAGCGGCATCCTCACCTTAGGAAATAATGATCTAGCTATGCAAATTTAAAATATTCATATATAGTAAATTTATAAGTAAGAATAATGTGGGGCAGGGAACTATTTATCTATTCACTACCATTATTATAAATGAGTATATAAAAGGTCTACCTTTATATACTCATTTATATAAAGTATAAATATTTTTCTGTTCAGAAAATAGAAGACATTTTAATTTCTCATGATGGCCTGTTACGGAGAGGAGAACCTGTTATTTCCAACAGCAAGGAACGACACTTTTATATGAACACACGCCTGAAGACGTAAAACCTAATTTTAGAAAGCATTTAATTTCACCTACATAGCAGTCGATGTGTTAGACACAGCATACCTCAAAAGCTATCCTGTAATATTCTCGGACAAGCGTCCACTCTATCTATCCATTGAAGCCATTCCTGCTTTTTACCAGAGGCGCTGGAACTGTATTATGTGGAATATGCGGCACGTTCGGTATTAAATAGGCTCCCGGGGCTGGGCTGTCACTTTGGAGTTGGTCCCCGGGAAGGGCCGTCGTGCTCGGGGGCAGCCACACTTGCAGGGCCATTTTGGCCGAGGCCTCACAGTGCAGAGCAACGTCAGCAGCGGCTCCTCCTGAGCCACAGGCTCAGGCCCGCGAGCCGGCCGCAGGAGGCGCGAGCTGGAGCACGGCAGCGGGCCGAGGCCCGAGGCCCGAGGCCCAGGGCTGCAGCGCGGGCTTAGAAACCGCTGCCACGCGCCGCCAGGCGCAGGTCCTTAGGCCCCTCAGTCCCCCCGCCGCGGTTTTCCCAGCCCCGGCGCCGTTGCCAAGGCGACCGCCGCCGAACGTTCCCGCGGCGGGCCCCGCCCCCCGTCCAATCGGACCGGCGCTCGCCGGAGCCCAGATTCTCTTTGTTCCGCAGCCATTTCAGGCCCCGGACGGGAGGCAGCGCCGCTTCGGCAGAGGGCCCGAGCGCCGGAGGCCTCTGGGATGGTGTGGGACCGGGTAGGTGGCGTGAGGGTGCGCGGCCCCTGACTGGAGGGCGGGAACAGAGGCAAGCTGTTCGCAAGCTGCCTGACGGCCGCGGGGAGAGGCGCCGCCGCCTCATCGGTGCCAGCCTGGCCGTTTGGAGCCCGGCGGCGGCGGCGGCGCGGTTCTAAGCCCAACAGCTGCTGGCCCGCGCGTCCTTGGGGATCCGGACAGGGGGCGGGCGGCGGCTCTTCAGGTGTCCGAGATTAGGGCCCGTAGCCTCTGAGGGGTGGCAGGAAGAAGGTCTGCGCCTCAGGGAGCTATTTGAACCGCGGCGTTTGAGGGCCCTGGGGACCGAAGCCGCTGCCCCAGGACAGCTGCTCCCCGCGGGTTCTGGGCACCGTCGGGCGCTGCCCCGGATGCCCGCTCTTTGTCCCCGCCCGGCCCCCTCTGCTCCGGCGTCCCGGGCCCGCACGCACCACCGCCTCCACACTCTGACGGCCGTCTCCAGGCGGCTTTTTTCCCCTTGGGGACTCGTGGTTTCACGACGTGTTTACATAATTTTAATGTTTGTAACTACGGGTTTTGCGTGGGTCTATGTTTTTGCACTTCTGCGCTTCTGTACTTCTCTCACGCGAACACGCCCCAGGGAACTGCTGCTGAGAAGCGGACCCACGCCACAAGCAACCTGTTTGGGGAGTGGTTTTCTTCCTTTTGAAAGCAATCGCTTAACTTGTTTTCACATTTTAAGAATCAACTGGATTGTACAAGGACTGAATAGTTTTAAGCGCGTTACCTTAACCATCACTAATCAGTTCCGTTCTTCCACAGATAAAAATATAGAAAATTAAAGTTGGAGACTGTCCACAAATTGATTTTGACAGTTGTGTTAAGAAGCTCAGTAGCAATCCTGCCTTGAAGCTTGTAACTTCAATGATGAGTGTGTAAATGGTGGTTGATTTTTTTTTTTTTTACCTAAAGGAAAGATTTTTTTTAATACAAGTTGTGTCGTGTAGTAGGTATTTGAAAATGCAAGACTGTAAAATGGCTGTCCTGACATGCTCGTTTTTAGGATAACAAAAGTTACCTTTGGTTTTAAGTTTCTCTATTTTGTCTAAGCTTTCATATTAGAACGGTAAATAAGTCATACTTAATCAGGGGAGGATTCCTTTTTTAGAAATCAATTCTGTTTTCCATTTTTACCTTCTCCTGCACCTATTCTTCTTAGAGAATGACTCCACCAAGTTGAAAACTTGCAACTGCTAAAGAGAAATACTAGCTTGAAGGTGCAGGTTTCTTTTTTACTCTGCAGTGTATGCAATGCATAAATGCATAACAGTTTGGCAGTTCACCTAATTTAATGAGAGCCTGATGAACTACTAGTGATCCATTTTCTTTTACCTAAAAGAGGCCCCTACCAGATCAGCCTTGATGTTGTTACATTTTCATCCTAGATATTCAGGGAATTACTGAATTACCCCCACAGAAGTATCTTAAAATATTTTAAAGTTGTATAGCTTATTATCATTATATATTATGAGCAGGATAAGATTTTGGTAAATATATGATTCCAGTTGTAAATCTTTCCATTATCAAAACTTTTTGTAGCCATTGTTTTTATGACTAATTTTTTTATATAATGTTAAAGCCATCTCATGAACTCTGTTTTTCTAAATCCTATAAATGAACTGCATCGAAATATAAATGTATTATATTTAGAAGAATTGCTTGCAGTTAACCATGTTAGATTACTGCAGACACTGTTTTTAAGAAAAGGAATTTGGTAATAAGGGAAGCCAAATCATATATATAACATATATATGTGACATATATAATGAAATAAATTTATCAAATGTAAACTTCAGAGAAGAACACAGCAATAAGTGGGAGTTATTTGTTTTGCCCAGGATATAAATTATGAATTTTTCCCTAAAATTGATATTTGAATACATATTGGTATTCAAAGAGATCTTGTTCCTAAAAAACAAAAGGGTGAAAAAGCTGAGAAAATCAAAGTGAGAAGTTTTTAGAAACAGTGTAGAATAATTCCACCTTCAGAAAGGTAGGATGAGACAGCTAAGAGACAGCTTAGTTCCCCAGATGTTGAAAATCTTTCTTAGTTGGTTCCATTCAGCCAGTGCTATGATAGCTCTCTGGTGAGTGCTGGCAGGTAAGAGAGGTCTCCTGGATTGTACAGGGTGAGGAATTTACAATGGAAGACAGAGGTTTGCAGAAGTGGTAACTGTAGATTTATAGTTCTATAGATGGGTGTTGGCCTTCCTTGGTGGCTCAGTGGTAGAGAATCTGCCTGCAGTGCAGCAACCTCAGGAGACTCAGGTTCAGTCCCTGGATCAGGAGGATCCCCTGGAGGAGGGCATGGCAACCCACTCCACTATTCTTTCCTGGAACATGCCATGGACAGGCTAAATCCATAGGGTCCCAAAGAGTCAGGACATGACTGAAGTGACTTAGAATGCACACACAGATGGGTGTTAGGGTGGGAAGGAGTTTCCAGAAGCCACATTTGCTTATTTCAAGACCTCCTTACTAGAATTATTTGAAGTACTGTCTAATAATGTTAAGGGTTCCAGAGTCTTAATGGTTAAATGACATACTAGAACAGGAAATTAGGGTGTAGATTTGTCTTAGAATATTCTGCAGTAGATAGAACCAATACAGAAACAGTGGCTACATCTTATTCCAAAATGGCACCTGATAGCTGAGCAAATATTTGAACTCAGAATTGAAGGAAAGCTGAAGGAAATCTGTTATCTGAAAGACTACAAGATTTGAATCAACACATGTCTTTTTAATGGTAAAAATTTTAAAACAAAGCAAGTCTTTTCAGTGTAATACAATAAGTTCTTAGAACTGGGCCTGGCATGTCACTTCATAAATAATAACTGTTATTATCATCATCTTTGACATGGTCATTGGTATTTTAGAAAACTATAGAAAGCAACCATAAAATAATAATCACAATCAGGACCATGAGGTGATTAAGCCCTTTGATACATTTCCTTCCAATATTTTTTCTCAGTTTATTTGATTTTTATACAGTTGAGACTTTAATATTAATTTGCTTTTTTCAACCTAGCACCATAAGCATTCTGACATGCTATGAAATTATTTTGTCAGCATCTTTTTAAATGACCACATAATATTTTTATGAATTTCTCATAATTAAACATTTTGCTGTTGGACAGTTAGCAGGTTTCTTTTATTATATTTTTGCAGTTATAATAAACACTACAATGAACATCCTTATACATAAAACAATTCCTGTGTTTTAGATTATTTCATTACAATAGATTTCCCAAAGTGAAAATATTGGGTCAGTGTATGTGAACATCCAAAAACTCAGTTCATATTGCCAAACTGTTTTTACTTAAGGGAATGTAATAATGGAATTAAATTGAGGAGCACAGCATTTATTGCCCTTTTCCTGGAGTTGGAAGGGAAGAGAGAGTGAATTAACATTTTTTTCTATTATATGATGATGTAATATGACAGTCATCATTTGTAGGCATTTGGCATACATTGCTGCTTTTACATACATTATGCTCATTATCCTAGCCCCTGTTGCTTTACACGTGATAGTTACTTCCATTTTACTTAAGGGAGAACTGAAGTATCAGTAGGTAAGTAGTTTGCCCAGAGATTCAAGAGTATTCATAGCTGAATCTGTATCTAGACCTGCATGATTATGAAGCTCATATTCTTTTATTTGTGAAGTTTTATGTGACACACATATTCAGAATCTTACAGTGAATATATGTATACATTGAATGAATACAGAATCATAAAATGAGTTTTATAGTTCCCTCTAAGAGTGAATCTGTTAACTATAGATCATAGACCACATTTTAAAAATTTTTATTTATTTATTTATTTTTGGCTGCTCTCAGTCTTTAGTGCTTCTTGGGCTTTTCTCTAGTTGCGGAGGCTGCTCTGTTCTCAGCGGTGTGCGGGCTTCTCATTGCAGTAGCTTCTTTTGTTGCAGAACACAGCCTCTAGGGCATGCAGGCTTCAGTGGTTGTGGTTCCAGGGCTCTAGAGCACAGACTCAGTAGTTGTGGAGCTCAGGGCTTAGTTGCTCCAGCATGTGGGATCTTCCTGGACCAGGGATAGAACCCGTGTTTCCTGCATTGGCAGGTGGATTCTTCACTGCTGAGCCACCAGGGAAGCCCCAGAGACCACATTTTGAAGATAGTAAACTGAGCTGGAAGGAATAAATAAAACTTGTAAAGTTTTAAAACAGATAAGGTTTAACTATCCAGGTGTATTTTTAAAAGAAAAAAAAAAAACTTACCAGGATGAGGTGTAATTGGTAAGGAGTATATAAAGCTGGTTTCTAAAATGATTGCAGCAAGCATTTGTGGGTGAAACGCTCTTAGTAAAGACCTCTTAGAGGAGGAGAAAACAAATCCATCAAATTTGGGGGTCAAGAGAAATGACAAAGGCCCATTAAATAAATAAATTGAAAAACATGTTTAGTTAAATCCCTGGCAAAGTGTCAACTGAAGTCTTAATAGAAAAGAAAAATATGTATATATATGTTCCAGTTAAGGAAGAATAAGAATATCGACAAGGTGTGTGAGAATAATTTTATACCAAAAACTAAAGCAAAAAAAATTTTTTGGAGTTGTATTTTGTAGTTGACTTTGAAGCTCTCTGAAGCTATTAGTGAAATAATTGTTGGTGAAGTCCCTGAAACCTCAGATACCAAAGTAACCACTACAGATGAAAAGATTGATCCCAGAAAGGTCAAGATTCCATTGCTTTTGTCTTTACTAGGCAGGGAATTAGGGGAGAGAAATACTTCACCAGATTGTGAGTGTACAAAATAGATGCAAATAATTAGGAATAGGTGGTGTCCATCAAAAGTGTAAGTAAATGAATAAAAACATTGATCATTATACTGCCAAATATATGTTTTTGAAAAATACTTAATGAAGTAAAAATATAGTTTATTTTAGCTGGCACGTAGGAAAATGATGGAAAGATGCCAAATTATGGAGGACTTCATGTGCCCTT